TTGTACCTATAATGCCTTTTACCCTACACTATATATACTTTGTATAGAAATGCATATTTGTATATGAGTTGTCTCCTGTTGGAAACACTACAATGTGGAGAGTAGAAATTTGGAGTCAAGAGGATCTGGGTTCTAATCCCAGCTCTCTACTCATGTAACCTAGGGAAAAAAACATTTCACCTCTCTGTACGTTACTTCCATCTATATGATGGGTGTTTGTCCCGTTAATCCAAAGTGAGTGGGTATAAAAAGCTGTCAATAATTAAAAAAAAAAAAGATGGGGTGAGATGACAAGTCCCTTTCATTTTCTCTTATAGCTTATCTCCCCTGCAGTACCCAGCATAGTACTTTGTACATACATGATAGGTGCTTTAACAGTTACTGAGTATTTAAGTTCCCTATGACACTGAAGGTGTTGGCATGGGGAGACTCAAAATTTTGGCCAGTCTAGGTTGTGCATCACTCTTGGTTTTGTAAAAGTCTGGACAGGAACATGGACATGCAGCCTTTCCTTGGTCTGCTGCTGCCTGAGCCAGGAGGGAAAAGCCTAGAAAAAGGCTCTCCAGCCAAAGCAGCATCTTAGAAAAGTAGCTCAGGTCTTTGACACTTGTTAAATGTTTTATTTATGGCCTTTGAATTTCGTTCACTTTCTCCCTGGGGGTCAGCAGAGAATTTCCAGGTATTGCACAAAAGATCATATAAACTGGGCTACTGACACCTTCCCCAGGAGCCAAGGAAACATGGTAGGGATAGGAATAAGCCTGTAGTGGAAGTAGTTAGATCAGTAAAAGGTTGTAGATTCAGAAATGTATTCAAAGTGACTGTCTCAAACTTGGTAACAAATATTCGGCACATCCTAACATAACTGGAATGTCATAGACTTGGGCATGTTAAGTGGAAGATTATACTATATATATATATATATTATATATATATATATATATATATTATATATATATACACACACACACACACACACACGCACACACACACATACATATATATAATACCTTGTACCTGATTTACAAACACCAAGCTAATGAGTAACGGGGAAAAAAAAAGCCCAACAGAATACTTTAAACCCTTCTAACAGTTTAACAGATCTTTCCCACATTTTATTTAGTAGCTCTTTATCTTCCTCCTAGGCACTTACATATTTTAATTTGCATTCTCCATTTACTCTTCACAATAAACTAAGATTTTTGGACAGGGACATAGTCTTACTAATTGTTCTATCTCTAGCAGGCTTAGCACAGTATACTGCACATATTAGGCATATTAAGATTTAGTGAGTTTTTACAGAAGTACATTAGCAGAACCATTTGCATACAAATCTTAATCTGCTAATCAAATTCTTATGTATATATTCAGGAAGAAATAATGTTACAGGACCTCTGCCCAGTCATGCTTTGTATACGAATATAGTAATTTCATTCAAAACTGCTTACAAGTTTATTTTTTGCAGTAATTAAGATAGGCCCTTCTAATCATTCCAGTTAATACACATCTACAATAGGGACAAATTACAGATCAATCGTTTTCTTGAATTTCTCAAGTTTTGGGGTCTGATCATCTGAAGTTTAATTTGTCACCTTGTAAGAGGCTAATTCTCTGGCCTGACAGACTAACCACAAACTCAAGAACATAAACATTTGATGAAATGTAACCTGCCTCTGGAATTTGTCACACAGCCTAGAAATGTGCATTTATATCTGCTTACAGATAAGAAAATCAATGGGGGTATCATAAATCAAGCCAAATCTTCAAACCTATTATCAGAAGCCCTTTTAACAGTTTTAGTATTTTTAGCAAATTATAAATTAAAACATAAGCAGCACAATTCAACATCAACTACTACTTTTTCAAGGTTGTCAATCACTTTTTTAACTTTTCCTGTAATCCCTATATTATTTTTACCACCCCCACATGAAACTTATTAAAAAAAAATTCATACTTTCCATATGGACAAGATAAATTTGAACTATACTCTTAGTGTGAAAGGAGGCTATGAGAATAGTAAGGGTTGGTTGGAAAAGATGGTTCAAGACACGCCCAGGGGTTAACAAGGCACAGAGGAAAAAAAGGTCTACCTTAGAGATTTGCTTTATATAAACATGGGCCTGTCTTGGACCCCCTTTCCAAGGAGCTCTAATGTGTATAATTAGCAGATGGATTTCTGGGCAACCTAGTCTGAGTCATGGTGAGATTCCAGTGTATTATAGGACTGATAAATGGAAAATGTAACTATGACTTAAGAATAAAGCAAACTAGTGGCTCAGCTGGAATTCTGATGACCTCACACAGACACGAATAAGCCTTAGGACAGTCAGAGAAAGTATGAACCATTTTTATATTACGTTAATAAATTGGACTCTGTGCCTCAGGTCTAATCAAAGCATAGTATGTGTGCCAGCACACAGTTTAAAGTTAGAAATCCATCCAAGGGCTTAGTTCTTACACATACTGCCAAATACAGTAAAGTCCTATGTATCTCGAAAGGCTGAGGAATGGGATTGTGGAACACAGAACTCCCAAGCTGGAAGGAACCTAGAATACCAAGTTCCAACTCCCTTATCTTATAGATGGGGAAACTCTAGTTCAGAAAGCAGAAGTGATATCCTTAAGGTTACAGTGAAGAAGACAAAACCAGGACTAGCACACACATCTCTGAACTCGAAGCCCAGGTTTTTGCCACTGGTATAATTAACTGAATATCAAACTTTTACCTGGTATAGAACATGCAACCTAGGAATCAAAGGTGGTTGCCTGAGATTTTTATCCCTTCCCCTAAACTGGAAAAAACATTGGACAAAGAGATAAAGAGAAAATCTGCCGTGATCTTGGGCAAGTCATTTCTCTTTGGGCCTCAATTTCCTCATCTGTAAAGTAAGTGGATTGAAATAGGTTTCTGAAGTTCTTTGCAGTTTCTCACTAATCATCTAACTAGCATGAACCCCATAGGGCCTAACCATTTGACAACCACTACTATTATTTAAATGACTACCAAATAAGTATTATGATAGCAGGCATGGATCAATTAATGACTGTAAATGAAGCAAAATGTTAATTACATAATTAAATCCATTTAGTCCACACAGTTATTTCTTATACATCACCAAAATACTAAAATCAACCTAACCTTTCTTAACAATTCAGAAGGCACTTATGATGACCCTGAGGCCCTGCGAAAGTGATGATTATTGTACGGGACAATACATATAGAAAGTTTAGGAGATGGGATAGATGGACTGAATCAATTAACCCTGATATAGCCTAAAAATTATTTTTCAATAAAGAAATCACTGATAACAGCTACTTTACTTGTTTCAGTCTCTCATAAAAGCACTGACATAGAAAAAAGTATCTGGCTGTTTGGATAAGGAATTTACTGTATTGTGGCAGTTTGTAAAAAATATTTTCAATGTGTCTGATACTTAATTTTATTCCTTGAATAAAAATTCCGAGATTATAATCATACCTACAACATGAGAGGTAAAATATTCCCTGAGTACAATTTTGTAACAGTCTAATGATAGTCACCTTGCAAAATTGCACTCACTGTCTATTCGGAAGCATGCAGGTTACCAGTTCTTCAGTGACTCTTTGACTGGTACCAATGGGGACTAGCATTGAAAGACTCTACTGGAGAGAGGAACAAAAGCTTAGAAACAGCCCATTCCTCTACTGGAGAAAGAAACATACTAAGGGGAAGGCTCAAAAGGTTCACTGATGACCTCAAAGGCAACTTCAAGGCTGTAAATAAAGGTTTGGATATACAACCTCACTGGAGTAATGAGTAACCCAATCTCTTCTGTGCACTGCCTCGACTTCCCCCCCAAAGCCCTCTGCAGCCCCCAAATGCCACTGGGAATATCTTACCTCGACAAAGCACATAAGGGTGGTCACTGTCAACACAGCTTCACTGAGTGGCTTTGCCATGGCAGAGGTGGGTGCTGAAAGAACAAATGCATCACCAACAACAATTCAACGAACATCCTGAATTGAGGAGCTCTCAAGCGTCTCTAACCCAAGATGTCCATCACCTACTTTGACTTTAGGCAGATCTTAAATATACAATGGTCTGTAAATTTCAGGCACCGCTTTCATCACAAATCACTGTAACTGAAGGCAAAAGTAAAGGAAACTTGAGTAGCTTTATTTAGCTTCTAATTTCTGGGAGGCTCAAAAATTATTATTCTGGACAAAAAAAAAAAGAAAAAAAAAGACTGTGCTTACAGATCATTTTTCTGCCATTTTCTTCCTTTAGGACCACTCTTTTATTGTTGCCCTCTCTATTACATGGGATGTACATACTGGGTGTTAATAAAAAGTCAATGCCTGTACAATATATTCTACAACTGAGCACCACTTTCTGTAACTGAACAGGCAAAGAGAAATTACACGGAACATCGGCATCTGGCAGTATTTTTCCAAAAAAAGTGACTAAAATGGGTTTAAATTGATTAACACTATTAAATCACATCTAATATTTGATACTACATGATTTCAATACAGCTATACGATACAATTATACAAAATGTGTTAACATCAAAGAATACAACCAAAATTAAGATAGCAAACAAAACCTATATAACTTTTTTTACAGGAAAATACTTTTGAAGTATGCATGTAACTGCCCATTCTTTTAAAGAAAATCTACTGCAAGCAAAGTTATCAACCTCCGGAAAAAATCACACATAGCATTACTAAGCATATCCCCAAGAAGTGTACAATATGCACACTTGGAAAATACAAAATTAAAAAAATTGTAAGCAACAGGTGAGCTTCATATTTATAAGAATGTGAAAAGAAGTCCAATTTTTAGCACTGTCGTATAAAGAATTGTCTTTTTGATGCAAGTTCATGAATTAGCCTCCTATTGGGGCTGCACTTTACAAAACACCGTGTTCTTGAAACTGGGCTACAGAGCAAGATAGAGCATCTTAGCAATGTCATCTTAAAAGGTTTTTTTGTGTGTGTTTTTTTGTGTGTGTTTTTGGTTTTTTTTTTTAATTTTTACTACTTTATCAAAACATGTCCTTTAGGTGTGTAGGATTCAATTTTTTTTTTAAAAATTCTTTCCTAGAAACAATATACAAAGGAGAGGCATATTTATTTCTGATCATACTCCTGTAAGATGCTTCTCTAGTTCGAGAACATTCTTCCCTCTTCTTTTCACTGGTTGTTTTTGGCCTTAGCATGTGTTAAGATGTGAGATTTCAGGTTAGTTGACTGAGCAAACTTCTTATTACAGCCGTCGAAGGGGCACACATAGGGCCTGTCTCCAGTATGAATTCGCACATGTGTACGTAAATTGAAGTCCAGTGAAAAGCGCTTCCCACAGCCTTCGAACGTGCACTGTCAGAGGAAAGACCACATATCAAAACTGTTCAGCAACTTTGACAGTTACCTGGAAGATGGGCTAGCAAAAGTTCTGCTTCTCTCTGGGGGTGGCTCACTCTCCTTTAAGGAAATCAGATACCTTTATTGCCCACTGTCTTCTACACAGCTATTCTCTAGTGAGGTATGATCCCTGGACACACTGAACTGACCTATTTTGTATTGTGTACAGGTAGCCAAATCTGACTGTTAATTGAAAACACAGTTTGAATATCTGGCAAGCTGGCAGGAGTTTTACCAAATTACCTAGCTCTCTCAAACTAAATTATGCCAATTACCAAGCTCCTTGGCAGCTTTATAAAAATTTCTGATACTGAAATATCAAGGGACTGAATCCTGTCTTTTACTACAAAATACATTTATCAATTTATTATATCAAATTCTGTATAAAGGATAGTTTCAAGGAAACAAAAGTTAAGCTTACTGCTACAGATTAATGTACAAAGGTATATATATTACATGCCCACACAGTTAACTGAGTTAATTAACCATAAATAATTTTTATTATGATCCTAATAAGACAGCAGAAAAGAATTCTTAAATAACATCTTGAAAAGTATTAAATATTCCTAAACCATAGCACAAACACAAAACTATAGATTTCCTCTCGTAGATTGTCATTTTCTCCCTTAGTAATCCTTTCCCCAAATACCTGGTCAAATGCAGTGAACTAACTACACATGGAGCCAAAAGAAAAATACATAAAAACCTAATGTCACCCTTATGACTGGTAAATGCTAAGAACAAAACAAAACAAAAAACAAACAAAACACCAAAACCACAACCCCCCCCCATTCATTTGGTTTATTTCAGAATATATACAATACACTAATGATGGCACCATCCAGCCTACTTACTATTACTATTACACAAAGCAGACAGAAGAAAAGAATTGGCTATACCTGAAAGGGCTTCTCTCCAGTATGAACCAGTTGATGCCGTTTTAGTTTTGAACTCTCAACAAAAGCCTTTCCACATTCTGCACATACGTGGACTCTAGGACCATGGGTGTGCAGATGTTTTCTCATGGCAGAGTTATCCCTGAACATCTTTGAGCATCCCTTAAAGCGGAGAGAAAAACTTCATTATTTTTGCCTCAAATTCTTTAACCATTCAAACCACTAGAACGGTCACTACTGTCACCTTAAAAAAACAAAACAAAACCAAAAACCCAAACCATACTGACCAGTATAACATAAAACTTCCCTCAAAAAAGTCTGCTCACTTTGTCCAACCCACAATTTTTACATTATTTAAAAGTTATAGTAAAACTTAATTTAACAAAGATCAATGGTTTCAAAAGCTTATGATATAGTCTCTAATGGTAAATGTGATAAACATTTCAAGATAAAATTACAGAATGTTAGAGACCAAAAAGGCTATCATGCAGTTTAACCCTTTTACTTTACAAATGAGGAAACTGGGGCCCAGAGAAGGAAAGTGACTTGCTCAAGGCAACATGGCTCATCTGTGGCAGAACTGGGACTAGAACCCAGGTCTCCTGATTCTCTATCTAGTCTTTCTTTGTCTCTCCCAAATCTGCTGTCCACAAAAATATTAATAGAAAGAAGCACTGATAAAGAAATGGAATTAAAATGATGGCACTCCACCACTACCTTTGGTGGGCCCCATAGTCTTTGGTGCAAGTATGGTCTGTCATTCTCCATCTCCTACTTCCCTCTTTCTTCTCTCTTTGCCTCTTTCCCCTTCTTGACAGAGAAAGAAGCAAGAGGGTCTCCAAGGAATGGCAACTACAGAAGAAATTGATTCTGTGAGACACGAGGAACAGAGAGAAGCAGACAAACTGACTACCAATGCAATGCATGCTGAGGCTGATGGATATGTGGTGCTTAAGAAGCGTGTCAATAACAATTTCTTCTGCAGTTGTTGCCAAATAATGGAGTGGTCGGAAAAATGATAAAACAGCATGATAGAAGGACAGAATAAATAACCGTTAAAACAGTTCCTAGACAAAAAGGGTGGTATATGGTAAGCAGAGTTGAGGTTGGGGGTTTGGAGGAACCAAAGTCATTTCACCTTCGCTACCAAGTAGCTACTTGGGAAATTAGAGCTTTTAAAAATCTTTGGAAGAACTGAGATGACAGAAACTTAGCAACACTATTTAAAACTCTATATTCATTTCTGATTCCAATGGAAGTCCTTTCCCACTTACAAATAACAACATCAATTCAGTGAAGTCAGACTGGGAAACATAAGCTGGGAATACTGACCTATTTTATATATATATATGATTTTGCTGAAGCTAAACTTACTCATCTTCACTCCCTATCTTGTGACTTCCTTGCCCTTTTATCTCATTCTCTTCACCAACTTCTGTGCCTAACTCAAAATTCAGATTTCTTGCTAGCATCTTTAAAATTTTCTGTTTGTACCACTTTCCTTTCCTATAATAGCCACGAAAAGAATTGTTCATTGTTAATCAGATTATTCATATTTGAGTTAAGTTTGAAAACAAGTCTCTATTACATCAGAAACTCATATATACCTGGAAAAGTTATGTATCTGCTACTGACATATCTTTCTCCAGTGACTTCCTGAGGCATGGATCTGACCCTAAGTTTTCAAAGGATATGCCAGCAGAGAAATTATTTTGGGGAGGATCTATTGCAAGCTACAAAGCCTTTGATTACAGGCCTACTGTTGGACTATTTTGTCTGACCTGTGAGGCTAACTAGCAGAGAAGTTCACGCCCCAAATGAAGAAAGATTGTGATCAGTCACTAAAAATCATGGGGCCTGGAAAGAACAACCCCAGCGTCCCAGTAATTCATCAGAACTTTGAGGTAAAGATAAATATTAGGTTAGTATCATTTGAAAAATTTCCAAATATTGATAAAATGTTTAAAAAGGATTAATATAACAATAATAAAAAAGAGACTGGGGCCACAATGCAGACCCCTTTAACTAAAATGGCCTTTTAGGAATAAAAGAGCTACATCAAAAAGAGAAGATCTGTTTCAGAGATAAATCAAATCTCCTTATTTTAACAAAAGAACTCTAGGGGCAAAGTGTTGTCAATACAAAGATGGAAAAAATGTAAATTTTGAAAAATCAACATTCTACAATGTAATGACAGTCATCACCAAACTCCCATAAATCCCCTAGCATTACTTACTTTATGAGGGCAAGCTATTGTTCTTGGAGCATCATCTTCTTTAATTTTTCTTGGCTTCATTCTTACAAAAGAGAGAGAGACAGGCATTTGCAGGAGTGGGTAGACTCAACTGAAATAAATCATATTCCCTGAAATGTTATCCTAATATAAAAATCATATAGCTACCATATCTCAAAGTTGGAGAGCCTCAGAAGACACCTAGTCCAACCTGGACAGAAATCTCTAACAACATCCCTGATGAAACCTCCAGTGGAAAGACAACTCACTACCTACCAAGGCAGCTCATTCTACTTTTTGTTAGCTTTCTAATGGTTTGAAAAAGTTTGTTTTTAAAATATTTATCATGTCAAAATCTGCCTCTCTGCAGCTTCAACTTTGTTCCTCATCCTGTCTCTGAATCAAAAGAATAAGCATAATTTCTCTTACTATATGATTCTGTAGGAAAGATAATGATCATTTCCCACCCTACTCACCCCTCTCTCCCAGCCTTCTGAGTCCAAACATTATCAGTTCTTTCCAACGACCCCCACAATATGGTTTCTAGTCCCCTTACCATCCTGATTATACACTTTTGGACACCCACCACATGGCTAATTGTAGGAGGCTTGCTAGTACCAGTTTAAGTCAAGCACTTGATTTTCGACTCTTTTATCTCTGATTTATACTAAGGATATTATTGGGTACGTATGAAACACAGATAAACTGGATAAAAATCTGAAACATTTTAAGTTAAACAACAGAATCCTAGAACCAGAACAGAAAGTATCTAGGAACTGATGCTTTAGTAATCAAAAATTCTGACAAAAGGGGAATATGGCCTGCAACACAGGCCATGGAGTGAAGAAATTTTCTTTAATTTTGACTTTCCACTATAAATCTTAGGTCAGCAGGTAGACAATTAGAAAAGAATTGGAAAGAAGTATGGACTTCAGAAGGAAAAAAAAAAGTTATAAGAACAAGTTATTTCCACAGTGCTATCTATGGTTTACTTACAAAGTACAAGTGTTTTTATAGAAAGGAACAGAGATCCTAAGAAGGGAAGAAATTTGCTTAGTTATATGGTAGAATCAGGAGTCAAACACACATCTAACTAAATTCAGTGCTTTCTACTCCATACAGTATTACACACACTACTATGCTAATAAAAGTCATGGCAGAGGTGACAGAGCAGCTCAAGGTTGGGCACTCTGTAAATACAAACTCAACTTCCAAACCCCCTCAACTGTTACCATGGGGATTTTTACTGCTGAATGAGGTAGACAGAAACAAAGAGATCAAAGATCACAGCCCCTGCTATGGGGCAAGCAGAAAGAAAGAACCCTTAGCTTTTTGATTTCTGGCTGGTTCCTAAATTACCCTCTGACTTACCTGGCATTTTCACTGACCTAAAACTTGGTCTTTTGGCAAGGGTGTCAAAAAACCTTCCCTTTAATTTCTCTCCCTTAGGATCTATGTAGAGTAGAAAGGAAAGAATTAGACAAGTTCCTGGACCAAGCAGTCTAAGCAACCCTGGTAGGGACTGTATGCCTAGATATTTTCACCTTACAAACCAACAAGATACAGGTAGATGCCATTAAGGAAATGGCTATTAAGTTGATAATTGGATTATCACTATAACAAATGTTTTCTAAATACTTTATTAGGCCAGGGGTGGGGAACTTGTGGTCTCAAGGCCTCAAGTGCAGCCCCTTTGACCCTTTTGGCCTTTTGTTTGAATCCAAAGTTCACAGAACAAATCCCCTTAAATAAAAGAATTTGTTCTGTAAAACTTTGACTCAGCTAAAAGGCCGCATCTGAGGACCTAGGCAGCCTTGAGGCCCCAGGTTCACCCTCCCCTGTACTAGGCTTTGTTCCACAACAAAGACTCATAAATCTCTGGGTATGGGTCTGTATCCACATCTAACAGAAATAAGTAGGCTGTACTATATGTTTTTGTAATATTGCTCCACCTGGAGGTTGGATCCAGATCTGCTGATTCTTAGAAGTCAGTGCAAATAGTATTAATTAAACATACTATGACTTTTCACTCAAATACAAACTGGCCAAATTTGAAATTTGATAAAAGCCAAATTTTAAGAGTTCTAGTTTTAATGAGGATTCCCCCACCTTCTCTCTCTGGATTAGCAAAAATATCAAATCTATACAAATTTTTTTTGCTTCTTTCCAGTTTTGGGGGCTTCAAAATGAAAAAAAAAAAACAACTTTACAAGAGTAAAATAGGCATAGCATGGATACCCAGAAATCTTTAATCAAGAGCCATCTCCTTTTTTGTTAGGTTATGGGGAAAATGAATTTCAGTATGAAATTTTAAAATGCACCCTTGGATACACACAGAAATCAGTTTTAAAGCATCAAAGTAAATTAAACAGTCTGAGGATAGGATGAAAATTAAGAGTTTATGATCTTTTAAAGTCTGGTAGAAAACAAAAAAAATCTATTTTCTGAAAAGGGGCAATTTTTAAATTTCTTAAATGCTACCAGATAAAGATTCAAATCATGTAATCCTCTTCAGAATATTTATTTGCTTTCAAGGGTGTTTTAATGAAGGATCTTTTTCTAACTACCTAGGAAGCAATTAAAATTGAATACCAGAAATAAAACTCAAATTTGATAGATTCTGAAAGTGTAAACCATTAGGTTGAGACAGAAGACACAAGTAAGTACAAAAGCCATTTTATTTAGTAGATCCCTAATCTGCTATATAAAACTGAGGAAGGGAAATCCAACCAAAATTTTTAAAATGAACTTAAAACGGAACATTTCTCCTCCATTAAATTGTATGTATTGCTCTTCTGGGAAAGTTGGCTTCTTGAAACAAACACAGTTAAAGCTGCAAAAAAGGGTCATCTTTATGCCAGGGAAATGGAACTAAGTTTAATTTACACTATAAAAGTTTCTAGAATCACAATATCATGAGAAGACATTTTAGAAAGAAGTTCAAGCCTGGGAAAAGAATGAGGAGTTAGTGGGAATATCACTATTTCACGTCTTTTGATTATGTTGTCACATATTGTCACTGATCTCAGTCTCACTATACTTACTTTATGAGACAAGTAGGATGGACTATACAGGAAATTAGATTTTTTTAAAAAAATAGCATTACAGACCTTCCCTAACAATCTGAGATGTCTAGAAGTACAATGGGCTGCCTTTTGATACACCGAGTTTCAAATCACTGGAGACCTTCAAGCAAATGTAGCGGGGCAGTCTGGTGGGGATGTCAAGTGATTCCTGCTTCAGGTTTTGTACTGTGCTAAACTCAATCCAATAAAGCAATGACTAAGTGCCCACTAGAAGGCAAGAAATCAGTGATAAAAAATTACAGTCTCTGCCCTTGATAAGCTATATTCTATTAGGTTAGATGACTTCTAAGATCCCTCCTAGCCCTGAGATTCTACGAACATTCTGGAACTCCTTGGACCATTTTAGTAGGCCAAAAGTTCTTGTAGAACTTACCACTGATTTATAGAAAGAATGACATTGCTTTTGATGAAATATTTGATAAAGGGACTGATGATCAAATCATTCCAGAAACCAAGATATATAGTGAAACATACCTTTAATTAAGGGGTTGCTCTTAATTAAAGACTTATACTCTTAAAACACTTAATCTGATCTAATGTACAATTATGTGAAAGTAGGCAGGGTCTGTATTTAACATAATAAAAAATATTACTTGCTATCAATCTGTAAACTGCCTGGGTGGATGCTCAGAACACAAACTTTTGCAGTGGGTTGTGCCAAAAATTAATACAAATTACTTAAACTAAATTAAGGGCAAACCAAGGGCCAGAATTCGCTAAAGATATTTAACCTCTCCCTCCCTTCCCAATTTTAAAAATATTTTTTACTGCGAAGAAGTTGTTCTGGCTCAAGATACACCAATTAAGTTCCCATTGGTCATAAACTTCTCAATATGAATCACTTTTAATTAGATCATCTGACTACTTTCTTTTCGGCTTAAACGAGTCTTAAGTATACAATCCCCCATTTCCCCTCAACTCCACTCGAAAACAAAAGACAATTTTGGAGCATGGGTAGTTTATGGAAAGCAACATGGTGTGCCAAAGCACAAAGGCACTACACAGCAGGTGGAGATGGAGGATGGGGTGGAACAGGGAGGCAGAATAGGCCCAAATAAATTTGTTGTCTGGCAATTTTTCCCAAAGGGAGCAATTCAGTCCTCAATCAAGTCTCTACCACTGATCAGACACCTTCACTTGTCTCTATGATAACGTTAGAGATTAAGAGCACTAGACTTAGAATCAGAAGACATTTCTTTGAGTACTGGTACTGCTACCTATCAACAGATCAGTCCATTCACCATTTTGTGCCTTAGTTTCCCCATCTGTAAAATAGATAACATTAGTTCTGCCTTCCCACATATGATTTTAAGGAAAACCAATCTGTAAGCTATAAAATGTTACTATCATGCTAGGTCTCTTAAAAGGTCATAACTATTTCCACCACAGTCATCAATAGCACAATTCTAAACGCTGACTATCTCCCATCCCCATACTAGTTATAAGAATGACCTCTGAATTAGAACCTAAAGATCTAAGCAAGAAGTGTTTATTCATCACTTTGCCTGGATCAATTAGTAATTGTTTTCTATAATCAATGGTATTACCAATTGTTTCAGAATGCATCTAGATAATTCTAATACATAAGTATAATTTATATACTTATATGATTCACTTATCATTCCAACAAGAATTTATTGAATTATTATCATACACAAATCCTAGGTGCTAAGGGTGATATGTAGATTATTAAGACCAGTCTCAGCTTACAACATAATAGGCAGTTAATACCAGAAGGCAGAAAAACAAACAGGACACAGATATATAATCGAAGGGCTATGCTGAGTTCCCCAGAGAGGAAGATCACTTTTAACCAGGAGTTTTAAGGAAGGTTCTATAAACCAATCTAGAAATATAGGAGCCTCTCTTTTAACTCCCTCCCACCAGGTTCAAGAAAAAATTTTCAGATGTCTTTATAATGTGATAGCTTTAAACTTGTTTTATGCCTACCTACTATCATAATGTGGAAGAGTAATGCTTGTAAAATGCTCAAAGAAACCATGTGCACTTCAATACATACTACACTAGCGCTCTTCAATAGCGTCTTGCGGCAAGGTGCAAGGTACTATATTTGATTACCATTGGTTAAGGCAAGTCAGTTCAACTTACCTGATGATGCTTGTGGAAGGAATCAAGAAGTCATATCACCACCACCATATGTTAACAACAGTACTTTCTAGTTCCCCTAAGTGTCAATTAACCAAAATTTCGTTACCAATTCACTGGGCTGAGACAAAGTGCTAACGTATATAGCTAAACCACAGTAAAGACTAACAGGCTCCAACATCAACTTTGAAGCTCAAATAACCTCTGACTATATACTATGCCTTCTTGCTCCATCGAGCTTCTCCACAGTTAAGTGGTAATAATCAACATGTTTGAACCCTTTAAGAGTTTGCAAAGCATATTAACTGAGATTGTCTTATGACAAACCGTTAAGGTAGATATGGGAAGTTATCTTTATTTGAAGCTGAAGAAACTGAAGTTCAGCAAGTATTAATTAGAGACTAGTCAGGGGTGGGGAACCAGTAGCCTCAAGAACACATATGGTCCTTGAGGACCTAGAGGGCCACATGTGTCTTCAAGGCCACAGGTTCCCATGCCCTGGACTAGGTCCTGACTCTAAATACAGTGCTCTTTCCGTACCCTATATTACTTGCTAAATATCCTTTATGTAATATTCAAGGTTTGCAAAGTGCTTTGTGTCATTTCATCCTCACAACAACCCTGAGAAGCAGGTGCTACCATCCTCATTTTGCAGATAAAGAAACTGAAGGCTGGAGGTCATGTGATAAGACCAGGTAGCTAGCATCTGAGGCAAGAGCCTTTGTATATGGACGACGGTCTAGATCTCTCCTTACCTTTTACCAGTTACTTACCTAGAGATTCCCAGCCAACTGCTTGTGTCAGGCAGTAAGCAAGCTACACCCGCTTACTGATCTGACCAAAACATTCTCGAATTTAATGCCTTACCAAGGCACAGAATGGTAGAATAACCCCCTAGATTAGTTAACAGATAAGGGACTGTGACCCAAGTCTTCTAAACCCTAGTCTACTATGCTTTCAAAATTCAGAATTAAAATAGCAGAGTTGATGTGGTAAAGGATGATTTTTGGTTTCTATAAGGGAGAAATTTTCCTCCATTCTGTGGCCTCAAAGGATCCAAAATGCTGCCATACACATTAGCACACTTGCTTAAATAACTGACCACTTTTGTTCTCAAATTTTTCCTAGTAAAATAATAGAAACCACAATGGCGACTAAGGCACAGTAAATAGTATGGCTGACTATAACCCCAAGAGTAATGTCTAAATTATAAAAGGGGGGGGGAAGAGGAGGGGAGGGCAAGAGGTATTGCAATTCTTGTGACTTACCTAGCAAATTCAGCCAGTTGCTTAGGATCTGAGAGGTCAATGCCAGGTATTCCTCCAGGAGGAAGTTTCTTGCCTGTCATGTACTCAGAATAATCAGGAGGTGAATTCTCTCCAATGATCTGTTCTTCCACCACTGTCTCATGGTCAATATCTTTTTTATCATCTGAAACACATTATGAGATTACCCTAGGATTTATAAAGATGTGTAGATTCAGTTAAAACTGCTTTAACTTCTCAAAGTTAAAGCAACCAACTCTAGACTTTATATTAAACTCTTGTAGTCATCTCTTTCCTCTACTGAAACTACACTACCTCCTCCCCAACCAGGTTTTCAATAACCCCCCCACCCCGACTCTTAAAATGTCTGCCTCTCAATTATGATGACCATCTTATCCCCACCTTTAAAAATTCCCTTTCTTTAATTTTCATAATACGAAATCTTCTTCTTGAACTTTTAAGTTAATAATGTACTAACATTATATATAAGGCACTGTAATATCAACTGTGTGGGATGTAAAGATGGGTAAAATAAAACCGTCCTTACCCTCAAGAAGCTTACAGATACCCAGAGATGACTGAGAGTGGGGGACAGGGAACAGGAATGATGAATATACATACGACGACTACAATTTAAATCATATTTTAGTCTATGAGAGATACATTTCAGGCTTGGGAGCTGAGAAAGAAGACTCTCTTCCTCCCTTTAAGTAGCATAACAACTTATAATAATCAACTGCTTGTAGGACATCTGCATGTGGAATATCTTGCCATAAATAAATCCAAATCCAACACATTCAAAACCCACATCACCTTTCCTCCCCATTATCTTCTATGCACAGTCACCAAGTATTGCAAAATCTCCTTGAAATCTCTCACATCTTTCCTCTCCTTCTTGGAAAATTAACTGCAAGGTTCTTTAAGTTCTACAAAAACACTTTCCTTAATAATCTTTAAAGCAGAAACTGTAGTAGAACCACTTCCCTGTGCAAAAAAAAAAAAAACCCAAAAGGATAGAGACTAGACCCATAATTTCATTGATTATAGGGAACTACTAGTGAGGAAACTCACTCTATCAATTTAGGTCAACAGCTTCTGAGTTTAAGAAAATTGCCTAAAGCACTGAAAAGTTCAGTCACTTGCCCACATAGCCAGCACGCCAGGGACCAGACCCAAGTCTTCCAGGCTCCGAGGCATTCTCATTCTCTGTATCTGCCATGATCCATGATGCCTTTGTTTTAGAAGATAACCAAACAAAAACCTATCTCCAAGGCTCCCCTACCTTGAATGTGGCCCCATCCTATCTATCCAATCCCAAATGTCTTCTGCATCTTCCAAAGAGCTCTTGTATTTGGAATTAGTGGAAAGTTATACCCACTAAGGAAGCATATAATCACAGGGGTTCTACTTCAGCCACACTAGCCTTTTTTCTTGATTTTGTCTCCAAACTTATTTGCAGTTGTGGCACTGTCATCCTTATGTAGGCTTAAAACCTCAAGTTATTTCTAACTTTTCTCTCCCCCCCCATTTTTATCCAACTAATTGTGAAATCTTCAAATCTTCCCTTATCTGTCTCTAGTAACTGCAGCAGTATCCAAAAAACCTTCCCTCCCCCCCCTTCAAGTCTCACATTTGCCAATACATCCTTCACATCGCTACCAAAATAATCTTATAACTTATATGATTAGTAGAAATTTCAGTGATTTCTATTCCCTACTGGGGGGAAAACCTCTACAATTCAGTCTGCCAATCAAAATAATTCAAAATCTAGTTTTAACCTACTCTTTTAGCCTTCTCTTCATATACTCTATAGGCAACCCCAATAGTGGACCATTTATGAACAGTTCTTTGACCCCATGCCCTATCTACTTTTGTGCTCCCCTTTCTTAGAATATTCTTCCCCTACAAACCTACTGACACTTTTTCTTTCAAAGTCCTTAACTTAAAAACAGTCTCCTTTCCACAGCAAAGCAACTTTCTCCCATAGAAATGTTACCTCCAAACTCACTGCATTGTTGTAGCTGGCCCATGCACCTAAAAGCACATACACAGTCCCAAGTTTATTCTTTTGCTACCAAGGACAACGAATTAAGAATATTAAGCTGAGTGTAAATATCTGTATAAAAAAATTATTCAAAGAGTTATAAATGTAACTAATAAAGCTTCCATTTATAATGTACTTTAAGGTTTAGAAATTTTACATAGGAGGAATGAAGTTAAAGAAAATATCCCCATTTTACAGCTAAAAAACCGAGGCCAAGAAAGGTATTAATAAGTATGCCGACCAAAATTAAGTAAAAGATTCATGAATATGAACATACATTTCCAAGTTTCTTTTCTACTATGCCATATTGTTCTCCATGTATAAAGTGGTTTTTATAGGAAAATTCCCTAATAATAGTAGATAACAATTCAGAATGCTACTTTGGGGTCCCCTTCTTCCTTATCCAACTTATCTTTACTCCTGATCTCTAAGCACTGAAGCAAAACACCTGTTATACACCAAAGAGCTTAAATTGTATTGGTTTTAGTTCCTAGCAAGTGTGCCTACAGCTAGAAAACAAAACAAACAACAACAACAAAAAAGCCACACCCACAAACAAAACAACTATGTTCATTCTAAACTCTCATTTTGGGGAGGAGCCTGATTGTGGTGTAGGAAAAGCCCGGTAATGGCTAACACCCACCTCTTCTCATTCCTCTACCTCACACCACAAAAGGACACATCTTAACTGTGGAAGTTTGAGGGAAAAAGGAGCAAATTTCTTCACAACAACTTATCTCTTCCTCCCCCAATTGACTCGTGGTAACATCTGACTCTCACATTACTGGAATAAAGAGAATAGTGAGATAAACCTCAAATTATTCCCAGCACGTGTCAGGTAATCACTGTCATCATATGCACATCAAAGAGAAATGGCCATGGAGACATGGGAGAAAGGGTAGGTCAAAAGTAGGTCACGAAGATGAGTAGAGTATGAAAATAAACAAAATGAGAAATGGACTAAATGGTATAACCAGTCACAACCATCTCAGTTTTCTTCTCATCTATAAGATAGGGGTGGTAATGCATGATTCTAGCTGTACCACTGAATTGTGAGGTCCAAATGAGGTAAGTGCTTTTACAAGCCCAAAAAGAACCTAGATAATTTGAACCAGAAAAGTTTAAAGGACTTAACTGGACATGTAATAGGCACTGTATAAGAAAATGGATTAAATGGTAGCATTAATGCTTTTTATTTGATATCTCCTGATGGATGTTAAGCAAAGGGACTGGTTGCCAAGGGAAAGAAATTAATTTTCCAACAGGTATATTAACAACAGGATAGAAACATCTGTCTAAAACTGTTTAAACCTCAGCTAGCTTTAAGATGGAAGGAACCATTAGATTCATATTTCATATGGTCGGTCATAAAAATTCCAAATCCTTTTCCTTTACATAATTTATGTTTTTCTTCCTAATTCCCAGCTCCCTAAAGCAAACACGAGATGTACTAATGTGCTGTTAATGAACATAATATTTTACATATCCTAGTACTAAGGAATTCACAGAATTCAAGCTTTAGAAAAAACAGGATGTGCACTTTAGGTTTAATAGATGTGAATTATAATGAAATTTTAATGTCTATAATCAGAGTAAAAAAGATGGCAATAATGAAGTACTTATCAATATCCATCTATCATAAACTCTAAAGCTATACAAATTCATAAAAAAATCAGTCAAATGGGAATGAATTGTATATTTGGTGTTATATTCTTTCACCCAACATAGATGGGATTTGATTTGAATCACTAGAAGGAACAAATCCACCGTAATAAGGCCACAAACTCATTTGAGTACTACAATACCTTTCTATAGATAAAGTTATGCCAAGGCCATAGATGAAAAATTCCTCTACCAAAAAAGTGTATACATATGCCAATACTAAAAATACACATACAAATGGGATCCACAAAACAATCTTCTCAGGAAGGTATTGCAAGACTGTTTTACAGATAAGTAAATTGAAGCTCAGAAAACTAAAATGATGTGCCTAATAAAGTTCTTCAAACTGTTAAACAGGGCCAAGGCAGAAGATGTGGTCTGGAATTCTGGATAATATAACCCCTCTAAGGAGTTGACAGGTTCCATTATAAATTTATGTTAACTTCACTGGGCTCTCACCGATACAGGGCAATCTTCTTATCAACTACATATAGATATTTATTACACATCTGAAACATCTTGGGCACAGTGACAGAAGTTGGTATACAAAGGTAAAGTCTCTGGCCTTAAGGTATTTTACATTCCAGAAGATGCAATATATATATATATATGTATATGTGTGTGTGTGTGTATGTATGTGTGTGTGTGTGTGTATATTTATTTATTCAGTAAAAAAATATAAAGTAACTTTTTTATTTTTGTGAGGGGGGAAGGGAAGAAAATCAAAGAAGGCCTCACCTCATATAGGAGGTGGTTTCTGAAATGAGCTAAGGTGTCTAAAAGTTGAAGCCGAGGAAGGAGTACATTATAAGCATGAGGGACAACCTGCACAAAGACAGAAGGAATGGTTTGTGTGTGAGAGATAGCAAGTAGGTCATTTTGGCTGGACAGTAGGGTGACTGAAAGGGAGTAATGTGTAATAAGCCTGGAAATGGAGGTTTTGTATTTGGTCCCAGGGGCAAAAGAGAGCCATTGGAAATTCTTTGGCAGGAGTGACAGATATAGTCACCCAAGAACTTTAGGAATCACTTTGCTGCCAAGGGCAACTATGTGGAGGAACCAAGTGGAAAAGGGGATAAATCAGAGGAAAGGAGAACAAAGAGAGAGCTACTGAAACAAGTCAGTCAAGAGGCACTATGGGCCCTCTCCAGTCTTAGCAAGAATTTCTTTGTTAAAGCTGCCCTTGATTTTTGTTACCCTAATTATCTTCCCACCCGCATATCTTCAATGAGCCAACACCTTCAATCCTGATCCTGGCTTCTGAAGCCCTTCACAATATGATTCAACCCCCCCTTTTCTAATTTCTGGTATTATTCAATCCAGTTAAACTAGACCAGTCCCAGTATATTGTTCCTGCACTGTCTCCATCCTTTTGTTCACACATCTCTCCTGCTTAAAATGTAATTATCTTCTGACTACTCAGGAAGATCTGTCTTCAAACCCCACTTCAAACACTAAGT